TGAGAAAAAAAGCAGACCTATTTTGGATGGCATGTTTAGTACGGACATCTGTAACTGAAATATCAAGCATTGATTGTGTTCTGGCGAATTGTGTCTGTCTGTCGTTTTCCCTGTTGTTCGTTTAACCTACGGCCTTCGTGGAAAGGTCCTCATTCTTAGCTCCGAAATAAAGTATTATGCTTGCATAAAAATAGTGCAAGATTGCAAAAAGGAATTCATTCGCGTTATGCTCTTTTCCATCACTTAGTAGGCGGTGCTGGAAGAGAACTCTGGAATCTTCAGTTGTTTGGACAATTTACCTTAAAAGTAGCCCTAGTTGTCTTTTTTCGAAAAGCTGTATAATGCCCTAGATCCGGTGAAGCGTTATTTCTGTATATTTCAAAACCAACTGGGATATACTAAGGATAGTTTGCAAGTTTTCCCTGCAATTACTTAGTTGGCTTGCAAAATAGGCTTGTTATTTGTCGCTGGTGAGATTTTTGGTAATGTCATTCCTACTGGCTGCTTGTGAATTCAGTTTATAGGTGCTGAAGGATGCACGGTTACCCTTTACGGGATCTAAAAGAACGTCAATATTTGTTCCTGTGCTTTTACTTGGCACAAGTCGAGGCAAATGTTTTCATACAAGGTATGTGTGTAGATGCAGGAGTAGAAGAAGTTTCGATCACCGGAATCATAGTTTTAGTTGTCTGAGCTTTCGGGTTCTTTCTGGAGTTCATTGTCAGAGGTAAAAGGCGTTAGTGAAAGACAAGCAACAGTTATTGGAAGCAGGGGCCAATCAACCGTTACCGGTGTGGGATAAGGGCGGGAAGGGGTAGTCGTGAAGTATGATATTAAAGATGCGTGCAATCTTATCTTAGTGACCATCGTAGCATAAAGACCACTAGTATCTTTCCCGCGGCTTGCATAATCCTATTATCCTACCAGTCTGTTGTCAACCAAGCTGGAAAAATTGAAGCAGCAGAATCTTAAAACTTGCTAGAGATGCTAGTTATCAAACAATCATCTCCTCACGTCTCAGTCTTCGATCTCAGCTTTCATTAAAAAAATCGTAAATTACAATAGGCGGGGTAGATTTTTTTACCTTGTGGTTAGGCGGTCTTTAAACCCTTAGTGAATGATGAAGTAGAGATGGCCCGATTCTATAAACTTCAGCTTCGATTTAGGATTTTTGTTTGTCAGCTCACGAGGATCACATAATATAACGCGTTGACTGAAGAAAACTGAACTCCCTTCTATTTGTTTTAATAGACTGCATTGCCATTGGTTATTTCAAGTATTTCCTGCTTAAGAGAGAGATGTGCCATTAAGTGGGTCGTATTTTCTGGAGAGTTTATTTTGTCCAGTCGAAAGCCAAATAGTTCATTCACGAATTATCTTGGGAGATGGAACGTTTGTTATACGTACGAATACAGCCGAACAGTTTTGTATGCCCACAATTTGAAGCAGGCAAATATATCTACCATCCCTATCTATCCCTCAGAAGTTGCAATCCAAAAAATGCAAGTAGAGTCAATGGAAATATTATGAAAGTCCTGAAACGAAATTGCATCTCCTTCATGTCACTTCCTACCTGACTGATTCGTCTTCAAAATCGGCAAAGTCCACACTATCCTTTGAAGAAAGCGCATTTGTGACTTGTGCATGAATCCGTTTGTTGTGAGGAAGACTTCCACCACACGCACCCGACTTCTAAAAATCACTGGAAGTGTTCAGGTTTATGTCTTACGGGAGTGATGTTAAAAGAGGTGTTATGGCTAGGTCATACCAGTAGAAAGTAGAGCATATAGGAGCAGGAAATAATAGGAAATATTTATCTAAATAACTAAAAATCTGCGCGTGATAATTAAAATGACAAATACAACCGATAGGACACAAGAGTTGCATAAAAGTACTTGCCAATAGGCGTGCAAATAAGTCGACATTTAGAGATTAAAATAAAACCATGAAAGATAGGCATTTGCCCTATTTTTAAAAAAAATAAAACCAGTTTCTAATGCATTTGGAGAGATACTGTAGCACGATAAGCCGAAAAACAACCGTATGCGAATTAAAATTTAAGCTAAATTAAAATTAGGCTGTCTAAAATTATGAGTAAAACTAAGCCAACAAACTAAAAAATAAACTGAAAACCAAACTAAAACTAATAAAACTAAAAGTAACCACACAGAGCTAAAGATCTGCGAGTTTCGGAGTGTAATGGTAAACATGACTACGTCTACCAAATTACATATAGTAGATATGTAAGTATATATTTCTGGAGATCGGGCAACTTTACTGTTACCAAATATGACATCACTCGACCCTAATCCACTTCTCATGCAAGTAATGAGCACTCGTACTGATAAGTACTCAGTCTGATGATGATCCACTTCCATTCTTCCGGGAGTTTGTCCTCTCCGAAAGACTTCGTGAATACGGTAGACAGGGATTTGCACAGTTCGAAAATTATTGAAGTGCTAGTGCAGATATGTCATCCGGCTTACAGCCAATCAACGTGCATCCTTTCACTTATTCACTGCAGGCGACAATGGATGCCCTGGAAGCAAGTAACCCCAGCAGTGGACACTGGCACACAACTGGTCTAAATGAAAGGTTAGCAAAAACCTCCTGCAGAGCACCCTGTAAAACTCTTTCCCGTGGTAATCCCTGTTCAACCTCCTTAGACTTCCTTGACTTCTGATTTTTGAAACATTTGTGTTGTCGAATTCACAACTTTGATGGGTTAACTGGATGTGCTTCCTGGGAATACTGGATATACTTCTGTAACTGTGGGAGCATGTTTATCAAAGCAGCAACGCATATCAATATTGTCGGCAAATTCTTCTCCTGGTTTCCCAATCATGACTCTGACACATATGCTTCTCAAGGCGTCGAAGACAAAGTCTATACAATCCGCGAAAGGGAGGTGTTTTATTAACTGTGGAAATTAGACTTGTCCAAAGAGGATGACAACGAATAAGGAGTTCGGCAGGCATGCCCTAAAGGCGATATATTAGTTTTATATATTTTGTTGTTCACACACTTGTCAGTAGCCAGGACAAATTCATTAATATACTTTGAAAGCCAGTAAAGAGCTAACCAATTTCTTGAATCTAAACTGTGGGTACTAAGATATTCCTTGTCCGAAGCTACAGAATCCGCATGGGAGTGTCATGCTTCCTGCTGCAGGCGTAAATTTCGGTCGAATTTTATTAATAGGAATATCGATCCTCCGGATGCCTATCTGGAGTTGCGCAAACAAATCAATGCCAGAGTTCAAGGTCGCTCCCGGTAGTATTGATCTTAATATGCAGTGAGTTATACACTTCTTATTCCTCGACAAGGGGCTCGCGTGGGAGCTCGAATCCTCGGGCAAATAAGCAACTCGTCTAAGAGAACGCCTTCTGGTTT